GGGTTAACCTGTGGCCTTCACCCATGCCTGTGCCCATAAGAGGAAAATAGAAAGAAAAGAAAAATAGACACGGTGACCAGTGACAATGGGGGAAAACATAAGAGGAAAGGAAACTTTCCCTTCAGCTGCTGTTGTCTTGGGAGCTGCCAGGATATCCTTTAGCATGACTGTGAAGCCTCCAGCAATTACAGGGAGTAGACCTGGATTACAACCACTTGCTGGATGACCACTGAGAGCTGGCTCTAGAAGCTGAACAAAAGCCACACTAAGGAGCACCAGACCCAGAGAAAGGAACCCAGATCCCATTGGAGGACTACTGCTTGGTCATGTAACTTCAGTCTACAGACCCCGGTTAAGGGTGAAGCCAAAAAGTGTGAGTTGAGAAAAAGCAGATTGTCCCTCTTGCCTTCTGTAGCCTCAGTGCCTAGCAAAGTGCCCAACCCATAGTAGGTGCATGCCGAACCACTGGTGGGAATTATTGAGAATCAAATTGCTGGCAGAGAATAGGGATGTAGATCCAGAGGTGACTTATAGAAGAGATATTACTAAGTACATGAGGGAACTACCATTACGTGAACATTTCCTGAGAAGCCTACTGTGCATCCGCATGTATGACTGTCACACTGAGAGAAGCCTACTGCAAGATTCTTGCTTGCTGTTTACCAGACACCATGCCTGGAAACTTAACAGAAGCCTAAAGTGTGTACCTGGCACTATGGCTATCCCTGTAGAAGGTGCTTCTTCCCAGGCACTATGCCCAACACTCTGGAAAGTCTACTGGATGCTAGGCACTGTGCCATGTCTCAGGGACAAGCCCACCATGAGCCAGCCATTCTGTGAGAAACATACTGTGTAACAGCCATACTGGAAGTTAAGGCACAGGCAAGTTCTCAAGTCACAGAGAATCTAGAAAAAGAAAGCTCCGCAGAGAGTCAAGGAAACAGTGAGAAAAGATGCACTTCCTGGCAAGGTTGAATGCTTCGTATACCAGTAATGGCTCTCAGGGAGACTCACCCCACCCAGAGAAATTCTTCCCTCCTCTGTATGTGTAGAAAGCAAAATGCCAGCATGCACCACTGGGGAATGAGGGGAGGGGACAAAGGAAGAATGAACTGTGAGGTCTTGGGTCAGCAATTCTAAACTATCTTGCTTTTGATTTGTCCCAGAGTCCCTGAGCTAGGATTGCTGGTATCTTAACTCATGGAAACTTGTGACAGCATCAGAAAACAAGCAGAGAAACTACATCCTTGGCCCTCAGCCCATCTCTGCTGCTGCATAATTGTGTACACACAGTGTGACACCCATAGAAATGGAGATATTTGAGATGAGGATGGGCCTTGGGCTTCTCAGAGATGACTGGCTCTGCTAGCAGTGGTCCTGATAATGTCATAAAAAAGGACAGCCAAGAAGCATGACAGTGGCCAAGGCCATCCTAAAAATGCTTCTGGATTTTATTTTGGTAAAACAGAGTCACATGTAAAGTTAGCTATCTGCAAACTTGCTACACAGTCATGGATGACCTTGAACTTCCGATCCTCTTGCCTTCACATTTCTACTAGAACTAAAGGTGTGTACCACCACACCTGTTGTATGTGGTGATGGGGATCAAAGCCAAGGCTTTGTGCATGTTAAGACATGTTCTGTCAGCTGAGTAACGTCTCTGGATCTGAACCTGGAATATTTTCACTAGAGCTGAGACCAGTTTCCTTTGGGTAGGTTCCATTCCACAGCACTCATTTGTTTCATACCAATGATAGAGTGAAATGGTTGTTGTCTTTAATTGTGAAACTCTTCCCTGAAGGAGTGTCTCTATCCTCAAGAAGAGCAATGTAGAGGAATACTCATTCACCAATATAGGTAAAAGACTAAAGGAACAAATCCTATCCATGTCTGGTTGGTAAACCAAGAGTTTATCTTGGGAGGAAGGTATTTACTTACAGGTGCTTTGGCAAGGTATTTTTTCCAAAACATGGTAAATTATTCAGGCATCCATATCATCAAAAATGTCCACCCCACCATACATGACAAATTTTGGAACTCTGGAGTTCCCACCCCAGTTAATATCTAGTCTCCTGAATACTTTAGTACCCCAAAGACAATGTCTCAGGAGGAAAGGAGAAGCTAGAATCTCAGGCAAGGGGCTAGCCAAACTTATTCCTTGTGTGAGGGAAGATTAATGGGCTCAGTTGTGTGTGGTTCCCTGCTCTGAATTCAATATGGCAACAGCTACATTATCCCCAGAGGATGGGGTTCTACTGCATACCAGATTAAACTGTTGAGCAGAAATGTCCAAGCACCAGCATCCTAGATCCCAGAAATGTCATTTGCCTCTACTAAGTTTCTTTCCTCCCCCCAACTCTTCACATAAATATTGATTTTCAAAAATATGCAATGGCAACCAGAGGGAAATATGTGGCTTCTTTGACTCTAACAAAAGTATAAGCCCTGTCTCATAAGGTTTAGCTACAGAGGAGCCCAGAGAGAGTTGTGAGGGAAGACAGGTGTCTGAGTACACAGGAGACCTGGTCTCTTTCTAGCTTGGAGGCCATTGGAGTAGGTCCTGACTTGGTTCAGTCCCTTCAGGAAGCCTAAAGGAGAAATGGTAGTCACTCTGAAGATGGCCACAGTTTGTTCTGGAAAACCCAACTCTGCTTCTGGAAACCCCAACTGGCTTTTGAATGCGACACATCAAACCATAGTCATCCTTCCTGCTCTCTAAAGGGTCTCTGGGATATGTCCCTTGATCTGACTAAACCCCATTTTCTTACTTCACCAAATGAGAGTAACAATGGTCTAGAGTCACAGGGGTGGCTTGAGGTACAAATGGGGTTGGTTTGACATTCCTCAGTCTGGGGCATAGTAAATGCTCATGAGTATATCATACTCCTAGAATGGTTAAAAGCATCCAGCTTCCTCTCTCATGGCTGCTAATAACCCCATCCACCCTGACTATGCCTTGAGTTGATGACTGAACTGAGGAACACACGACCTATGTGTCTGTGTTTGTACTAACTAGTACTGAGCTGTTTCTTAACACTACAGCTCTGTGATATAATATGAAACCAGGTGTGGTACTGCCTCCAGCATAGTTTTCTTTTGTTGATGGCTACTTCAGCTGCCCAAGAGTCTTTGTTCTCCCATATAAGTTTTAAGACTTTTTTTTTCTGTTTCTGTGAGAAATTTCATTGAGATGTTGATTGGGATTGCACTGAATTTATAGGTTGCCAGTATGCTAAATGGAGAAAAACTCTGTTTATGATTCATGAGCATGGATGGCTGCTCCATTTTCTAGTGCCTTCTCCATTTCTTTCCTTGGTATTTTAAGCTTTTCATTGTGGAGGCCCTTCATTTACTTGGCTACAATTTCTCCGAGTTATTTTGGAGACTGTTTTGAATGAGATTGTTTCCCTAATTTCTTTTTCATATGTTTATCAATAGTATATATAAAGGCCACTGGTTTTTAGATATTGACTTTGTGCCCTGTCACTTTGCTGAAAGTGTTTATAAGGGCTAACAGCTTTCTGATAGAGTCTTTGAGGTTCCCTATGTATAAAATCATATCATCTGCAAGTAAGGATACTTTGACTTCTTCTTACTTATATCTTTTTTTATTTTCTCCTCTTGTCATATTGCTCTAGTTAAGTCTTTAAACACTATACTAAAATAGAATGTGAACAGTATACACCCCTAACTTAGTACTAATCTTAGATTGCTTTGAGGTTTTCCTCCATTTAGCATGATACTGGCAATAGATTTGTCATAGACCACTGTTATTACATTAAGGTACATTTCTGTCATCCCTGTTCTCCAAAATTTTTAATTTGGATTTTGTCAAAGGCATTTTATACATCTACTAAGATGATCCTAGGGGTTATTTCTGTGATGAATTACACTTATTTATTTGTGTGTGTTGAAGCATTTCTTGGATAAAGCCAACTTGGTCATGATGCATGATCTCTTTGATGTGCTTATAGATTGGTTTGCAAGTAGTTTATTGTGAAATTTGTAGCTATGTTAATTAGGAAGATTAGTTCATGATTTTCTTTTTTGCTTCTCTCTATCTGGTTTTTGAAAATGGAATTATGAAATAAATAGGTAAATGAATGAAACTGGAATAAAACAGACTGAGTAAGGTAACACAGGCACAGAAAGATGAATGCCATGTCCTTCCATGTTTGGACCCCAGCAGCAAACCTTTAACTTGAACTATTTGGAATATGGAGGCTGGTTTTCTGACTCACTTCAGTACCTTGGACAGCACCCTACTTGTCAACCATATTCCTTTAAAAATGATTGATGGCTGAGAGATTGGCAGACTGGACTGTGGGAAGTCTAGGCCAAATATCTTTTTCCTCATTGCATTCTCCTAACAAAGAAACTCATTCACTCTTCATTACAAAGGAGAGAGCTAAGATTTGGAGAATTTGAGTGAGCATCGGTAGAAAAGCTCAAACCTTCTGACTAGTTTCTTCTTCATTATTCTTCTCCAGACTTGTTCTTTGGAGAAGTGTTTTGCTGCCCCTAACTTTGTGAAATACTTGTATAGATGGTGCCTGACTCATAGTGGTTTGGTCCAGGACTTTTTTAAACGCAGTTGACATTCATAGACATTATATTTCAGATACTGATTTTGAGTTCATCCTTGACTACCGATGTGGCTTATAATATTCTCCTGTGATGATGCTAGAGGTATATATAGTGCTAAGACAGCTATGTAAACATGGGGGTAAACCATTGGCATGTTACAGTGTACTGCACTGCTTAGCTATGTCAGGTACTAGGTTAGATAAATTCAACAAAATTTAATGAGATATTTTCAGTTTACAAAGGAATTATTGAAGGCATCTGCAGGAAGTTGGGGATTATAGTAGTTAGACAGATGGTCCTAGAGTGTTAACTCTTTGTATTCTGAACACCAAATGATGTGACATGAAAAGGAAAGACTCAAGAGTTTGGTTCTTGACAGGTTGCCTCATTTTGTTTTGTCTCTTTCTATGCAGGATCTCTGCTGAAGGTGTGGATATTGTGTTGGACTGCCTGTGTGGGGACAACACTGGCAAGGGACTCAGTCTCCTCAAACCTCTGGGGACCTACATTTTATATGGTGAGTTCATGCACAATGAGCTAAGATCAACACCACCACAAAGTACCTCACTATGCTTACCACAGTCTTCAAGGTGAAAGGTGTTAATACACTGAGTAAAGGACAAACATGGGGGGTGTCTAGTTTTCATAGTAAATTTATTATGTTGATACTGTTGTCATATATTATAAAACTAACTTATTTGCCTACTGCCCTATCCCATACACTGTCATTTTTTAAAAATGTTTTGTTTGAATGGCCCTGGTTGTCCTTGCACTCATAACCCCACTGCCTTGGCCTTTTCAGTGACAGGATTACAAGTGTGAGTCACCCTGCCGGCCACATCTACTGTGAACTTGAGCGTACAGGAAAGTTATGAAAATTAGAAGCAAATTTTCTCCAGCAAACTTAAACTTTAGTGCTGGACCTTCTTGTCTTCATATACATACATACATACATACATACATACATACATACATACATACACACACACACACTAGTTTAAGATTGGTCTCCACAAATTCTGAACGGTGTTTAGAAAGCCAGAGTCCATCTTTCAAATAAGAATATTGGGGTATCTGATATTTGAGATTCCTAAAATCTCTGTGCCCTGTTCTTGCACTAGAAAATGAGCCTTAATTCTGAATATTTCAGAAGGAATAAAAGAAGTAAATTCTCTTTATAAAAGAGATATTTGAGGGTTATAAATATCTTCTCATCATAAGATCGTTATTACAAAAGAATTGACCTCACCAAGCAGGTGAACAATATTCCTTTGCTGACATTTTCTGGTCATTTCTATCCTGGCCACATATTTCCAAAGAAGTAAATAATTGATTAATATTATTGATGGGAAAACCTACAAGGATCAATACCATTATAAGAACATCGGATGTGACTAACAGAAAGCAGACAATTTATTCATCCTTCCTTCTCATTAGCCAGGAGTTATATTTTTGCCTCAATTCCATCATATCATTTTGGTGAACTTCAACTTGATTATCTTACAATTATCCAAGCCATTACATTGATCACTTGGTTACTATGTCATGCAAGCCTGGCATTATCCCTGGGACTCATCACCCCATTAAAGATAAAGGAATTGTTAACTGATTGGGAAAGAGTTTAGCCAGACCAAATAGTTAATTCTAAAATATGCAATGTTTTAAAGTAAATGACTGTTTTCTAAGAAAAATTACAATTTCAAGTGGGGAAAGTCTTTGGAGAGGGGCCAGTGCATCAGGGTGTTCTCTCTATTGTCAAGAGTTTGTTCTTCCCACCCATCCTCCTGCAAAGGGGTCATTTCTCTCTGAGCACCTCAGCTTATCTTTCCTAACTCCACCTCCATCTGGCATCTGAGTGTCAACACATAATTTCCAATATTCTTTTATCTAAAGTTTTGGGTTTTGTTTGTTTTTTAACTTCTCTGCCAAGAACTTTTTGGGGCTGACAAATAACCCTTGAACTATTTTCTCCTCTACCTTTCCTATATCTCATTATTTTGTATCCATTCAAGTTTTCCTCCTACCCTTCATTACCTAGCCATGTCAGAGCCCCTCATTCAAATCAAATTTGAATCTATGCACTGCCTTACTACAGAAGTTCACTTCTTATTTTCAATAAACAGAACTAAAATGTTTCATATTATTAAAACATTGAACTAATGAATCACCTTTTGCTACATGCCTGGTGTTCTAAAAGAATGAAACAGCCACCATGAGAAATCTCCCTTCCTCTGAGATTTGATGACACCTACCCAAATGTTCCACTTTGTGCCCCACCCCAACACCTCTTTTTCCAATACTGAAACATAAGCTTTTGCCATTTGTGCACAGATACAACACGTGCCACTCTTCTTCCATAAGAAGATATCTTGATTTTTATGAACAATTGCTTGACTTGGGAATCTTCCATTTGCAGGTTCATCCAACATGGTTACTGGAGAGACCAAGAGTTTCTTTAGTTTTGCAAAGTCAGTAAGTATCTGTGCCTTTCTGCTAGCTGATGGTTAACATTCATTTGCATGCTGTGAGCTTCATCTAAAAACATTGGTCACCCCCCCCCCATCCATTTACAACCTCTTTCCTCCTCTCTCCTGTTCTCCTGGGGCAGAAAGGACTTTTCCTGTCTCCTCTTCTAGTCTGTCTTCTCTCTGTGCCTCTTTTCTCTTTCCTTCCCCCTTCCCTCCCCTTTCTAATAAAACTTCTCTCTTTAAAAAAAATTAAATAAATAAAACATTGGTCACCAGGCAGTGGTGATCCACACATTTAATCCCAGTACTCAGGAGGTGGAGGCAGACAGATCTCTGAATTCAAGGTAAGCCTGATCCACAGAGTCAGTTCCAGGACAGCCAGGGCTACACAGAGAAACCCTCTCTCAGTAAAAGCAAAGACAAAAAACAAAACAACAAAAAGGACATTGGTCAATTGGTTGATTGCTGGCCTGTCATCTGCATTGTGCATTTCTAATAAATCCCATGCCCATTCCCTGCTAACTGCATATAGCCAGGATGAGGACTTGTAAGTTGGTAAAATTTTGAAAAGCTTCCTTTTAATTTCAGTAGAGATTGGTCCAGCCATCTGTTAAAAGTGAACTTAGAGTTACTGCACTGTAATTGTTCTCTATAGTAGACAGTCTTTTCTTTTGACAATTTTCTGGCCAGGTTTCTGGGGGCACAGCAGATTTCTGTATCCCTATTTTACTGTGTTGGAGATGGGAATGGGAATTTCCTAACTTTAGTAATTTCTGAGTGTATGATGACTGTTTGCCATTGAGGGTTGCTTTCCCTCGCTGCACCTGCTTAGGTGGATATTTCCATACAGAGCTATCTATATATGTTAGAATTCAGCTGATTTGGGGTTGTGCTTTTGTTGCTTCACCCACTAGAGCAAGGGATTGCTAGTTCTCACAAGTGTTCAGCTTTTGTCCTCATGCTCCTAGTCTCAGGTGCATCCAATTCACCAGATCAGATAAATGCTGCAAGAATTTCTTCCCTGGGGAGATGTAAATGACATCCCAACATAAGGTTCTGACAACAAACCAAAGTATGCTTCCACCAGCATTCACCCCAAGGATCCACTAAGATTATTGCCCTTACAAATGGAACAAGGGTGAGTAGTTAATGGCAGGAGTGTAGGTAACCCTAAAGCAGCTGCACTGGAAAATTAATAATGAGCTAGATGATGGCTTTACTATAGCCACATAGATGGAACCCCTTCCTTTAACCTTCCCAAAATTATGCTTTTCTAGTACCTCCTGAGACAGCTAGACCACATGCAATTAGGGCAAAATTGTGTTACAAATGGCTTGTAGTCTGCAATTTCAGCTGATGATCCAATGATCCTCTCTACCCTCTCCGTCTCTGAGAGAATGTCAATAGTCAGCAAACCTGATGAAAATGGTAGCTGTTTATCTCAGATGAGTATGTTTAATAGCAATAAGCATCACTCACTACACAGGCATTTCTTGAGCTTCTGCTGTGGGTAGAATTCCAAGACATCGAAGGTATCATAGTGGATGGGACAGAGGTGTTCAGGATCCTTGTGACTCTTACATTCTATTAAGGAGATATACCCAACGATAAGAAAACGTGTCAATAACCTGACTGTGAATGTCTATCCCAACCTCCAATGAGAATATAAACAGGATTCTGGAAGAAGGCAGGATGAGGTAGAGGCATTGTGAATAGGGTGGCAACAGCCAGGAAAAGGACATTAGATTTCATTCTCCACATATCATGATGGAGTTTTATTGATTACATTTTGGAAAGGTTTTCCCATCTCAGTTAGCCTAGTCTAGAAATTCCCCCACAGACATACCCAAAGATTTAACTCCAAGATGATTTTGGAGGCTGTCAAGTTGACAATCAATATTAAATATGCCAAGACTATTTATACTGACTGTCCAAATTTTATCCTCGAACATCTGCTGAATTGGGAATGGCAGTATCCCTTCTGTATGTGAGATCAGTATTTAAAGGACTCTTTTTCTTTCTTTCTTTCTTTCTTTTTTTTTTAACTTTGTTTGCACGTGGGACTTTAATAAATGAAGGTCAGGAATCATTTGAACTTCAGTGCCTGTAGGAACAAGGATAGAGCCTCCCAAAGAATGCTATCTACTGTCCATCCCTGGAGACAGAGTGTATCATTCACAACTGTTTTGTTGCTATGGATACAATTTGCATGATGCTGAAAGACTGCTCTGAGGATTCATGCTGGTCCCAAATTACATACGACTATAAGAAATGTTTTCCCTTTTTTTTTTTTTTACCCTTAATGCCCAATGAAATAATTACAGTGTGTTCATGCTGGGGAAAGTATAACAACACAGGCAGAATGGAGACTCAGTTTCCTCTTCCTCAGATGAGTACCTTTATGCTCTGGAGCTGAAGGTCATGAATAAAAGCCCTGAGGCCCAGGTCCATGCAGGCTGATTGGTTAGAATTAAATTGAAGAGGTTTTCTGAGAAGTGCAATGATGGCTTTGCTCCAAGAAAAAAAAATCCTATGCAATCAAGAAAGGCACATTTAGAATCATATAAGAGTTCTCACTCTGCTCTCTTAATTACGTTCCATCTTAAGATTTCAGCAGAGTGAATTCTTTATTCTTTGTCAGACTTGCAATTCACTCTTGGGTTGCCATCATAAGAGTGACTCTTATAGATGACGCTAACATATAGGGAACAGCCTGGCTCCAAATTCCAAGCTCTTTCTAAATGAATCTAAAACATCACTTTCAGATTAAAAGGACAGTTAAATTTATTTGTGCATACAGAGCATGTGATATATATGTATGTGTATATATATATGTATGTGTGTGTGTGTGTGTGTGTGTGTGTGTGTGTGTGTGTATAGTAAATGGCATATATCTTATATGAGCACATTTACTTTCTATGACAGCCTCCCTCTCCCCTAGTTATGTATGGTAAGGAAACTGAACACATAGAGGTTAGGTGAGTTGCCTAGTTACACAACTAGCAAGTGACACTCAACTGTAGAGATTTAAAAGAAGATCTTAAGTATACTTGTTTGTGCGTGCGTGCGTGCGCGCGTGCGTGCGTGCGTGTGTGTGTGTGTGTGTGTGTGTACATCCAGCATGGTGTTCATAAAGATGTCAGAGGATAACTTGCAGAAGTCAGTTCTCTATCTTCACCATGTAGGTACCAAGGATCCATCTCAAATTGTTAGTTCTTGTGGCAAATACCTCTTCCCCCTGAGCCATCTCTAGAGCTATTTTCACAGCTATGTAGTGGTGATAGCATCCACTGGCATGTATTACACAAACATTAACCGAAGTCCTACAGATGTACAGGTACCAAGCTTAATCCTGGGGCCCAAGATTTTGAATTTTTTATTTTGTGGATACTTATGCTAGGAGAGTAAGAGTAAGGGAAGACACTTTGCAAACAAACAAGAAGCTCTTAGGCGGTGCTACCATATCTAGGGTTATTTGATGCTGGAGAACAAAACCAGGGTTTATGCATGCTAAGCACACATTATGCAAACTGAGCTACAACCCACAGCCACAGACATGGAATTCTTCACCAAATCACATTTAGCAGAGCTGGGGATGGGACAGCTCAGGAAGAGCAGTACACTTGACCATAAAATCCTTGTCACAAGTCAAAGGCTGAACCCACATGCGAGCCATTTACACAGTCCCATCCTCTTGGATTTATCACTCCATGCTGTGTTCTCTTCTTAACTTACCATTCCTTTCTACCTACGTTTCCAGTAGCCTTGTCATTATTTTTCCCCAATTCACTCTCTTAGCAAAAAATCTTAAAACATGTTCTTGCATTCATGGTGGTCACCTCTACCATGCCCTCAATACTTTGTCACTTCCCCATGTTAGAACTCTTTTATCTTCCCCACAATCATTCACAGAGCCAAGTGTTTTACTCTGTACCCCCCTGGAAGATGTTAGTGCACCCTCTCATCCAAGTCAGCTGAGAAGCATGAATCTACTCCAGATTCATTGATCCTAATCTCACACTTACTATTTTAACAAACTGGCCTTGAATAAACTGAGAAAACTTATCCAAATGAATAGGATGAGAAGAGCTTCCAAATTTGATTGATGGAGAGAGGGTAGACTTTTTTCCCCAGATTTTGGAATATTTACAGGTAAGTCATAAGTTGTGTGTGTGTGTGTGTGTGTGTGTGTGTGTGTGTGTGTGTTGTGTGTGTGTGTGTGTGTGTGTGTGTGTGTGTGTGTGTGTGTGTGTGTATTAAGACAGATTCTGCTGTAGCCTAGGCTGTTTTGAAACTCACTCTTTAGCTGAAGGTGACCTGGATTTCTGGTCCTTCTGCCTCTACCTCCAAAGTTCTGGGATTACAAGCATCCATCTCCACAATGCTCACTCTGTTGTTCTAGAATTTGAACCCAGAATTTCATATGTACTGGGAAAACACTGTCCCAACTGAGCTACATTCCCATCATAGACAGTAATTTTAGTGTCCCTTTGTGGTATCATGTTAGCACTCAAACAGATTTGGCTTTTGAAGAATTTTAGAGTGGAGATTTTGAAATAAGGGATACCCAGCATTCATTCATTTTCTCTCTTTCTCTTTCTCTCTCTCTCTTTCTCTATGCTAAAGCCCTCTCATAGCATTGCTGTCTAGTATATCCTCTGTATCAACTGCTGTGGTTCCAGAGATAGATGCTTAAACAATAAGTCACCAAGACTACCTGCTGGTCCACCAGAAGCCACTCAGTTCTAATTGGGCTTCCTTGGAGCAAAGGATAGCCCATGACATAGTCAGTGCTGCACATTGTAACCTAGTCGTCAGACTTCCTAATCTAGAATCTTCTCTAATTGTAGTGGTGGCAGGTGGAGAAAGTGAACCCCATCAAGCTGTATGAAGAAAACAAAGTCATCGCAGGGTTCTCACTCCTTAACCTGCTCTTCAAACAGGGCCGCTCAGGCCTCATCCGGGGAGTGGTGGAGAAGCTCATCGGGCTGTATAACCAGAAGAAGATCAAGCCTGTAGTGGATTCTTTATGGGCCCTGGAGGAAGTAAGCAAACAACCTTCTTGGTTTATTTTTAGGACTTGGGGCATCCATGACAATCTTTTCCAAAACCATTTTTTTCTCCAGTTTGTTCTAAACAAAAGTCCTAAAGTAGGTGAATCTACCTGAACCCATTGTCACCTACCAGGTTCACATTTAAGAAATTCATAGTTAAGCAACAAAAAGAAAACCACTAAAAAAAATATCTCATATCATTTATTTATGTGTATGATTTTCATTAGGCCACATTCATAGCTATCCTTGGCCAGATGTGGCCCACAGATTTGGTATACTTGGGTCATGGTGCTTTAGGGATAAGGACCACTTCAAGTTCCCAAGAGGCTTTCAAACCATGCACCTCCAGACCTCCAGCATTCATACATAAACCCATTATTGCTGGGTAAGACACTACATTTGGATAAATGCATCCAATTCACTTTGATTACATAAGGGTGTGCACATTGTTGGAATGTCACAAATATTGTCCCTGTACGGATACCTACAAGATGAAAATCAAGGTAGCTCATAGATGGGGATGATTTGTTTGCAGACACTGGATGGTTTATGCTCCTTTGAGACATTGTCAGCTGTCATGGTGGACACTGTAATTATGTTGGGTCTGGTGTTGAACTGACTTAGGAGTTTTGTTACTGTAGTATGTTTGTTGATGATGACAGATCTGCAAAAAGTTCTAGAGTTTTAATGCATTCTTGAAGTGGGAACAAAATAACCTTCAAGGATGCTAAAGTAGGAGCTGGTTGGATTGGTTCATATGACACTCAAGGAGGAAGGCAGTCTTCAGAGTCTAGGAGTCCTGGACAAGAGAAGGGTGGAGCATATAGGAAATCAGTCATGACATCTCCTTGTGAAAATAAAGAAGCTTGTGTCCTGGGTTTGGGTTAAAATTTCAGATCTCCCTCAGTCATGAGGCCTGGGAAAATGCTTAAGTTGGCATGGGTTGTATTGTCCATTTGTTTTGTATTATTTTCATGGATGAGGTGTCTTATGGAACAAATAATTTATGGATGTATGTGTATTTGTGCATGAGAGGTATGTGAGTGTGTGCACACATGTGTGGCACATTCATCCTTATATGTGTGTATGATGGCCAGACATCAAAATTATTTTCCTCAACCACCCTCTACTTTGTCTTTTGAGGCAGTCACCTACTGAACTTGGAGCATGGCATTTAGGCTAGACTGCTAACCAGCACTCCCCAGCTCTGCCTTCCTTCCCTTTCCCAACTCCAGTCCATTACAGATGGACACCATCATGCTCAATTCTTATATGGATGCTGCAGGTCCTAACCCATGTACTTATACTTGAACAGCAAGCATGTAACCTACTGAGCTATCTCCTTGGCCCTGAAATAATAAGAGCTTTTAAACTTTGGGGAGTCACAGAAACCATTGCAAACAAAATTTCAAACACTAAATTGTATGAATCAGAAGTGTGTGTGTAATATAATTGGGTGAAGCATAATCATGCCATCAGATTAACTGGTCCTAGATCAGTGAACATGAACTATATACCCTATGGCCTTCTAATATTGAAGTATCGTGGACAGCCTTAACAACAACAACAAAAAAATAATAAAATAAAACAGCTACACAAAGTCCTAGTTTGTTGTGATAACTGAAATCAATATTCAGTACAGGGCATTCCTAAATCAACCCAACATAAGTAGAAAACAAACTGCACACCCACATTCCAGAGAGGGATAATGTGGTTAACATCCTGGCTTCCTTCCTTCCCATCCTTTTTCTATTGCAGATGCTCATTGTGATTCAATTTATTGCTAAAGTAAATCAGACAATAATGTGTTCTTTGTCCTGTGTAATTGCCAAGATGGTTAGCCTCTTGTCATCATTTTATTGAAAATCTTTTCAATTTAATGACTCGGATATCTGTATGGTATTCATTGTGGCATGCTAGAGAAAAACAGGAATAATTAGTACAAACTTCCACCCATGTGGCACATAGAAAACTTAGGTTTAAACTCAGTGTCCAAAGGGACCCAACAAATCTGGTAGCTTATGAGGGTTAAAATCCAGGAGGAAGTCCAGATGGCCCCAGGAGTTTTCCTACAATTTGACACTGTTCCTTGATCACTGTAGTAATAGAGTCTCTAAACACATGCGAATAAATATTGTGTGCTCAGTTCATCAGAGATGCTGAAGATACAGTGAAGAATAGATAGATAATATCCCTGGGTTTTACAGTTTATATCTAAGGAGTTGAAGGAACAGAAAATACTAAAGTAGGCAAAAACACACAGAATTCTTGCTGTTTGTAATAAGCTCCTACTAGGGCGTGTGTTAGCTATGTTTTCATCAAGATGACACTACCTGACAACCTGAGATGAAAGTGTCACTTAGGTTTACAATTTCAGAAGCTTTCCATCTCAGATGGCAGAGCATCTCAGATCATGGTGGTGGAAGAGTATGAGATTGGCTAATCACACCATAGATGACAAGGAAGCAGAGAGCAATGCCAGAGCCAGGGCCTGCCTCTAGTGACCAGGAATTACCATATGGACCTAGCCTTCTAAAATAGCATCACTGGCCTTGGGATGAACATCTAAAATACGAGCATGTGGGAAACATTGCAGATTCAAGTGGTAGCAGGAGGAAATTGCGGAAAGGAGGCCCTTAGTTCCCACATGGAAGTGTTTTCCAAATTCTTTTCATCATTGCCTATCTAAGGACATTTTTCAGGCTTCCTCCCCCTCCATGAAATTTTAATGATGTGTGTGTACATGTGCATGTGTGCATATGTATGTATGTATGTATGTGTATATGTATATATGTTAAGTATGTATGTTTGTGCTTTATGGATTAAAGAAGTTATTTTTCATCCCCCCCAGGACCCCCATTTCACTTCTTGGGGCAATATGATACCCAATGAAAGTACACACCCTAGAGTAGATCAAGGGAAAGGGGGGGGTGTCTCTGTCTTGGAGCAGCATACTTTGAAAAGGTACTTGAAGGAAGTAAATCCCAGAGATAAAGAGATGTTAACAAAACATTTCAGAGAGTTTACAGATAAACTATTCCTAGCCAAGAAAGCCTGGACAGGGCATCAAGGATGGGCCAGACAGAAACTCGCCTTTACTCCCAGAACTGTGAGGGTCTGCTGGAGGGTCAAGGTCAGGAGGTGCTGCTTCTTGGTCCTCAGAGTGTGATCTGCTCAGGGGGAACTGGAGTTACTAGTCAGGGTCCTGGACAATTGTGTGATCCAAAAGAGCTCACTGCAACCAAGGAATGGTAAAGACAGGCTGGTTGCAAGCAAGCACACCTCCTAATGAGCAGCTGTGCTTCCATGGCAGGATCTAAGAAAAGGCAACTGAACCAGCCATCACTGTCCCTGTTTAGGGGACCTCTGGAGTAACATCAGGACTTGATAAAAGACTGAGTCCACCCAGACTGCTGGGAAAGGAATTAGCACTAACCAGCAGCAGGAAAGCCATGGCTGACAATTCTCTTGGCTGAGCCATGTATTGGATGTGAAACTTAGAAAGTCTGGGACTTGTCCTTGAATCTTCAGGTCAGGTCTCCTCCCGTCCCACACCCTGCTCTGTTTGTCTGAGCTGTACAGGCTACTCTATGGTGGTTTGAATACAAATGGCCACCATAGGCTCATATATTTGAATGCTTAGTCATCAGGAAGTGACCCTATTTGAAAAGATTAAAAGGATTAGGAGGTGTGGCCTTCTGGCTTAGGATCTCTCTCTCTCTCTCTCTCTCTCTCTCTCTCTCTCTCTCTCTCTCTCTCTCTCTCTCTCTCCATAAGGAAGTTCTCAGCTACGGCTCTAGCACTTGTCTGCATGTCCATATGTTCCCTGCCGTAACGATAATGGACTAAATCTCTGAAAATGTAACAAAGCCCCAGTTAAATGCCTTCTTTCATAAAGTTGCCTTGGTCATCTTCACAGTACTATCACAATAACTAAGACATCTTCTCTTCCACCACCCATACACAGAGAGAGAGAGAGAGAGAGAGAGAGAGAGAGAGAGAGAGAGAGAGAGAGAGACCTGGAACCCAGTCTAAATCTCTGCCTTCTTGAGATAGTCAAATCCTGATCTGATATACTCCCAACCATTTTCTCATGCTCCGTGCATCCACCCACCCCACCCCCACTTCAGCAGCATCTTCCAGTTTTCTGGTTTTTAAACCCACCCACGTCCTCTCTACCTTGACTCTCTGAAGCAGTTGCCTCCTATGCATTAAATATATACCCTCCCCATTATCTCTCCATGACTGTGGCCTATGCAGAGAGGTCTTCTCTGCTCGTCCCTTCCAAAGATGCAACCTCTGTCCTGGTCACTGACTCTTTCCCACTGTTTGGAGATCTCTGTTGTATTAACCAATGATTGATCAGCTTGTGCATTGATTCTTGCTTTGCATCTACTAAAAGGTAACCCCTATGTGAGGAAGATCCTACCCATAGGCTTCTAGTGGCTGACTGGATGGATGCTCAGTAAGCAGCATACTGTATGGGTGAGTCAATGAGCCGGGCACTATACAGAAACCTGACTAGTTGGACACTTGCTATGTTTAATGATAAATATTTGATGAACAAATAGATGAATAGGTGAAGAAATAAACAAGCTATACTTTTTCAAAGATATTTTCTTGCAACCAGCAAGTTGTCTCAGTGGGTGAAGGTATTTGCCACCAATATTGATTGTCCCTGGAACTCACAAGCTGAAAGGAGCAAACCACCTCCCACAAGTTTTCCTCTGTGCAGCTGCACATATACACATACAGAGAGTGAAAGAAAAAGTTAAGTTATTAAATAAAGTATAAAAACAATCTATTTCAAATTAAAAATATTATTTTTTAAAAAACAGGGTTTATAAGCAGAAAGAAAGAAGTCAATGTTTTTCACCCAGGGCCTGATTTCTGTTTTGATCTGGATAATTCTTTATTGCAAGTAGAGGACCTTTCCTATGCAATGTTGAATCTACTCATCAGATTTCCAGCAGCAGCAATAAAAGAAAAAT